TCACGGCAGTTGTTAAGTTAGTAACACAAGTATTCCAGCAAACCTCCACTCCAACCAATTAATTCTGAGACAGACATCTTCTCAAAAGTTCTTTTTATTTTGGATAGTAAACTGGCACAACTGGGGAATCCGGAATCTGAAAGTTCCGGGCTTCCTTGCAATAAGTAAAAACTACAAATCCACGCCCTGCACCCATCATCACATCGCATGCCCAATCACCATCCATCCCAAACTGAGACTTCCTCTCACTTATGTGCCAAATAACATGACCTTGAATTAGAAAAAGAATGTTGTTATGTTACATACACTCCAAGAAATTCCCCCCCTCCCACTTTCCCAGGCTCAAAATGTGGCAGTGTGGGAGCATCTGGTCTCAATATGGCTTCCAAAGCTGACACTAGAAACAAGCCCAGCATTGATTATGAGGGAATGCTGAACTGCTGCAGACAGGAATTCTTGCTTTTCTCTGCCAAGTATTTGCTAAGGAGTTTGCCAAGGTTTGTAATCCCCTAGTTCATTGTAATATGACCTGCAGCTTCTGTTCAGACTCAGAGGCATTGCCTGGCAGGCACCTTCTCCCCAATTAGTGGCAGCCCTCTCGTGCTTTATGTAGAAAAATAGTCATGGACGCACCAAGTATTTACCAAGGCTTGAGTGTAACAAGGGGTGGTCAGGCCCATGATTATCCCAGCATTCTAGCATTTTGCCTGTTGTTGGGTGATGTGTAAGAAACCACCCCGAAAGACTATGTGAAATTCACAGAAAAGGGTGGGGAATTAAAACAGACAAAAAGCAATACAGGTAGTCTTTGACTTACGTAATTGAGCCCAAAATTTAAGCAAGATATTAAGTGAGTTTTGCACCATTTTATCACCTAGATTTTATTTATGTATTTATTTATTTGATTCGTCAGTCACTTACAAGATAATAGGAATAAGTATAAACATGAGTAAGAATACAGGAAATAGGTATGAATAAATGGGGACAATAGGACAGGGATGGTAGGCACGATTGTACACTTATGCATGCCCCCTTACACATCACATCACATGCCCCAATCATCATCTGTCCCAACTTGAGACTTCCCCTCACTTATGTGCACAATAACATGACCTTGAATTAGAAAAAGAATGTTGTTATGTCTAACTACATACACTCCAAGAAATTCCCCCCTCCCACTTTCCCAGGCTTAAAATGTGGCAGCTTGGGAGCATCTGGCCTCAATATGGTTTCCAAAGGTGACACTGGCTTCCCCGTTGACTTGGTTTGTCCGAAGTTTGCAAAAAGGGATTGAATGATCCTAGGACACTGCAACCATCATGAGTCAGTCAACAAGTGTTTGAGTTTTGATCATGTGACCGTGAGGATTCTGCAACAGTCGTAAGTGTGGGGAAACGGTCGTAAGTATTTTTCAGTGCCGTTGTCTATGGAGATTCTCCGTCCTCCAGGGCATGGTTGTCCCAAAGGTGCTTTTTTCCCCCCAAGATGCAACTGGACTTTCTGGTTTTTCTTCAAAGATGTTTTTGCTTCTCATCCAAGAAGCTTCTTCAGCTCTGACTGCCAGGAAGATTAATCCTTCCATTCCCCACCATCCAGTCAGATACCTTGATACCTGTGCTTCGCTACAAAACTATGTGGTCGGGCTTAGTTTTTGGGGAGGAAAATAAGGAGGGGAGGAATTCTGCCTCTGCTTACCAGCATCCATTGGTATTCATCTGGCTAGCATCCTGTCAGTGTGAGAGAGAGTTGAGGGCTGTTTGGAAACTGAAGCAGTATTTGCTATGAGAGGAGACAACAAGGAGCCTGGGCATGGCCTAGCTCAACTGTTCTGTACTAAAGCTGGTTGCTGCTGTGAAACTAAAACTGGAACTAAAACTCCTCTCCTGTGCTTGTGTTTTGGATTTGGAACAGATTTCTTTTCAGGTGGTGAGGGGGAGTAGAACTCCTTAGCATCAGAGTGTGTTAATAATAATAGTATATGAAATACTAATGCTCTGATGGTCATTTTGAAAAATCTTTCCTTAGTGAGCACCTAGAAGAGCAGCAAGAGGAACATATGTGCCAAATTTCAAGTTTGTAGGCTTTACGGTTCTGGAAATTTTGTAATGATGCATGAGTGGTCTTTTGCTTTTATATAGATAGATAAGCCACATCCTACTGGTATCACAATTCCATGTCACAATTCCAAACTTACCTGCTGTTGCCAATGCATCTTCCCGCCTATTGTCTTCAGCTGGTTGATGGATATTCCAGGATGTCAGAGGAAGCGAGGCAATTTCTTCATAGGAAGCTAGCTTGACCATGTCCATGTGGCTGCTTTGGGGCTTGTACCATGGAATGAAACACTCCTTGCCTTTTTGAAAAATGTCTTTAATGATTTCATTGGTCTGGACCTCATCCGGCATGCTCAGAAAGACTGCAATGCGCCGGGAAGATAGGTAGCAAGGATGCACCATCACCTGTTTTGGGGAAAGGAGAATCCGCAATCAGATTTAGGAATGAATCTCAAGTCAAGTCAATTTTTATTATAGCCAAAGACCAGGACAAGTTAAAAACACTCAAGAGAGACAGGCTGTCCTCCACTTACGAGCATAATTGAGCCCAAAATTTCTATTGCTTAAGTGAGACATTAAGTGAGGTAGTCCCCATTCCACGAACTTTCTTGCCATAAGGGAATCACTGCAGTGGTTAAGTTAATAACATGGTTGTTGTTGTGGTTAGCCGGCAGCAGGTGCAGATGGCTAAGGAGAGCGAGGACTCAGATGAGGGGCCAGGACCATTAGGGTGTGGACTGCTGCCTTCAGAGATTGTGGGAGCTGGCAGCAGCGATGAGGAGGTTCCCAAGGAGCCTGTGGCAAGTGCGTGTGTGCACAGGATTGCTCGTAGGAAAGAACAATTACAGCAGCACATGTGACTCAGGAGTAAGGCTGCAAGGTAATGCCCCTCATTTAAGAAGATAAAAGACAGCTGTGAAATGAATGCTCTTTGCAGAAGACAAAGACGTTTTGAAACTCCAGCCTCATGGACATTCTAGTATACTGAGTTTGTATTTGAAGATTCTTGTATTGCAAATTATTTCTTGTCTGTTATCTTTTGGCAAGTCTCACACAATTTGGTAAGGCTTGTGCTTATCACAGCGAATTATTTTGCAGAAGCATTAAAAGGTTTCTGTTCCCTTTGGATTGTGCTTGATTTGTTGGGAAAGGGTGTGGGTCAGAACAGTTGTTAAATGAATCTGGCTTCTCCATTGACTCTGCTTGTCGTAAAAGAGGATCACACGACACTCCAATTGTCATAAATGTGAGTCAGTTGCCAAGCGTTTGATTTTTGATCTTGTGGGCCAATGGTCATAAGTGTGAAAAACGGTCATGTCACTTTTTTTCAGCGCTGTTGTAACTTTTGAACAGTTGCTAAATGAACTGTTGCAAGTTGAGGACTCCCTGTACCCAGTTAAAATTCCCAGAATAAAATAATAATAACAAATCAAATCTACGCTAAAATAATAACTTGGCATCCAGTCTGCGGCACATAAACAAAACACAACACAGCCTAAATTACAATATAATATACCGTATATACTCGAGTATAAGTCGACCCGAATATAAGCCGAGGCACCTAATTTTACACAAAAAACTGGGAAAACTTATTGACTCGAGTATAAGCCGAGGGTGGGAAATGCAGCAGCTACTGGTAAATTTCAAAAATAAAAATAATTAATTTGGGAAATGATCTCACTATCATGAAAGGTTTAATTGATTCACTAACCCAAAAGAAGAAGAAGATGATGACAGCGGGAGGCAGGAGTCACTCTCTTCCCCTCCCTCGGAGGCCCCCTGAGTCAGGAGTCACTACCGCCGGCGCGGCCCCAGTCCCGCCGCCTCGGGAAGGGAAAGGCAAAGCGCTTTTTACCTTTCCCTTCCCGGCTGGGGCTGTTGGGAGTCGCTGCCGCCGGAGGCTGCGACTCCACACCATTTTTTTTTCAGAGGGGAATCTGACTCGAGTATAAGCCGAGGGGGATTTTTTCAGCACAAAAAATGGGCTGAAAAACTAGGCTTATACTCGAGTATATACAGTAAGTTCTTAAACTGTGAAGGCCTATAGTCATTAGATATTAAAAGGCAACAAAGTGATAATATCAAAAGATTTGCTGCATTCATTGTGTAAAACAGCTATGATGGATTAATAGCAATAGTGCTTAGGGTTGCTATTACTATTGTTATTGTTATTATTATTTCAATGTATTATGGCATTTACAAAGAGTGTAACAGATTCAGGGCAGATTACAACATCCAGGTATACAATTAAAATAATTGAAAACGTTTTTAAAAATGTGATGCTGATTCTAAGGTCCCCTTATTCTTGTAACTCCAAAGAATCACAACTCAGGAAAGATCTTGAAATTCTAGAAAGATTGCCAAGAAGAACAACAAAGATAATTACCTGACTAGAGACTAAAACATATACGAATGGTTGTTGGAATTGGGTATGTTTAATGAAAAGAAGTACTAGAGGAGACATGAGGAAACATGTTCCAATATCTCAAGGGCTGCCACAAAGAAGAGGGAGTCAAGCTATTCTCCAAAGCACCTGAGGGCAGGACAAGGAGAGAAGCAACCAAGAACTAAGGAGAAATTTCCTCACAGTTAGAACAATTAACCACTGGAACAACTTGCCTCCAGAAATTGTAAATGCTCCAACACTGGAAGTTTTAAAGAAGAGATTGGATAACCATTTGTCTGAAATGGTATAGGGTTTTCTGCCAGAGCAGGGGGTTGGACTAGAAGACCTCCAAGGTCCCGTCCAACTCTGGTATTGTACTTTTTCGAACAGCAATAACAACCAATTACATAAGGAGTTTTGCCAGGGTATGGAATGCATTCCTTCAAGGTCTTTATCTAGCCCCCATTCTCCTAACATTCATGAAATCTCTAAATTCTTCTTCAATGAATTCTTGGCATTGAGTTTGTTAAGTTTTGGTATGCTTTTAATTTTCTGAGCTACTTTGAAAGTTGGTTTGAGCAGGACAGTGGGGAGTAAATCAAATGAACCATTCCTCATTGTGAGGAAAGTCAACATTCGTAAGATTTCTTATAATGCATATTATTTTCCAAGTGCACTTGGCCCTTGGATTTCTACTGGGTGCTTCAACGCTGCAACATGCCCGAGAGGTGTTTATACGTACGATAGAGCTATCAATCATTATGATAAAATAGATTAAAACATGCTGGGAAATTATCCAACCACTCAAATGGTAGGCAATTGAAAGGTTCAAGGAAGGAGAGCGAGCATTTGTTTTGCTGGTGTTTTTCTCCTTGAAATATTCATTTTTTTCAGATATCTTAATATTCAGCAGAATAATCACGCTGGATTGACTTTCCTGCTGCCGTTGAATTAATGATCGGCTACTTTTACTTGATGAATGTTTGTTTTGATGACTGAAGTCCTACTTATTTGCATGCTCTGATTATTCATTAATTCTGCTGATCTGTAATGATGAGAGTATTTTAAGTTTTGACAATACACTTTCCAGTATGATTTTCAGGGCTTCAGTGGTATAGAAGTGGCCATTTTTAAATAATTCACCAAGGGCGATAATACGAAATACAGAATATCCTGTACCTAAATAACACTGATTTAACTGGAAATATATTAGAATATAGCCTCATCAATCAATCAATCAATCAATCAGGAGGGAACCTTGGAGGTCTTCTAGTCCAACCACTTACATAAGCAGGAAACCTTACTACTCTTCTTTAAAACCTCCAACCATAACTTGTGAAGGCAAGCTGTTCCATGGGTTTAATTGTTTCTCCTTAATTTCAGGTTGCTTCTCTCCTTGATTTCCATCCATTGTTCCTTGTCTTGTCTTCTGGTGCTTTGGAAAATAAGTTGACCCCCTCTTCTTTCTGGCAGCCCCTTAAATATTGGAATACTGCTATCACTTCACCCCTAGTCCTTCTTTTCTCTAGACGAGCCAAACCCAAATCCAGTGTTCTTCATACATTTTTGTCTCCAGAACTTTAATCATCTTAGTTGCTCTTCTCTGAACTTTTTCCAGAGTCTCAACATCTTTTTTTGCAATGTGATGACCAAAACTGGGTGCAGTATTCCAGGTGTGGCCTTACTAAGGCTTTATAAAATCGTACTAATACTTCAGGGTGATTTTGATTCTATGCCTCTGTTAGTACAACCAAGGATTGTATTAGCTTTTTGGGCTGCTCCTACACACTGCTGGCTCTCTCATGTTTATTTGATTCTCCACTGGGACTCCAAGGTCCCTCTCGCAGCTACTATGTTTGAGCCAGGTTTTGCCTAATCCATATTTCTACCTTTGTATGTATCTTCATATGGGTGTTGTGCGCCATTCCATTTTATTAGCAGGCGGGGTGAGCCAGATGTTCAAGGAAACAGAATTTAAAATTAGAAATTACCCAGTATAAAAATCATTCCTGCTGTCAGCATGCTAACAGTTTGTAAGTGTACAAGCCTGTTTCAGGAAGTTCACTGTTGATTCTGATTTTTGTGAAGCTGCAGAATATAATCGGTGGTTGATTTGGGAGGGATGTCATTTTTCTACTCACAAATGTATGCACTTCAGATTATTGTTCCTTCATTCCCACACATTATACAGTTTTTGTTATTGTTTGAAGCAGAACAATCTTTCCTGATCTGTGATTCCTTGCACGAAAATAAGCTGGGTGAACTGGCTCTTCCCACTAGCAGGGTCTGCTTACCACTTGCCTATTTGAGTCAATTTCACATCTAGTCTTACAGGAAAGCCGAAGCTTCTCAATTTCATATCCCCTTTGTCACTTTCTCAATGAAAACAGAAAAAAAAATTCCCGGACTTTCATTTTCAGAATGAAGGATAAATTTTCCCTTAGCATCATTTCTCAGATGGAACTAATTGCATGACAAGTATAAAACAAACTGAATTCAGCCATACACAGAATCATAGGGCTGGAAGGAAGTCTTCTATCTAACTCTAGTCCAGTTGAATTCTTGTCTAGTTCAAGGCAGGAGACTTTATACCATTCCAGTAAAACGTTGTTCGATCTATTATTGAAAACTTCCAGTGCTGAAGCACCCACAACTCCAGGAGGCAAATTGTTCCACTGAATAACTGTTCTCACTGTCAGAAAATTTCTCCTTAGTTTTAGGTTGGATCTCTCTTTAATGGTCTTCCACCAGAGCTGGTATTTAGCAGCTTCTGACCAGTTCTGGAGAACCGGTAGTGGAAATTTTGAGTAGTTTGGGGAACCAGCAAATCCCACCTCTGACTGGCCCCACCAACCCCATCTCTTCTCTGCCTCCCAAGTCCCAGCTGATAGGCTGGGTCTTCTTTTGTTGCCCTGCACAGGAGAATTGAGCTGCAAAGCAGGTTAGTGGGGTGGGGAGGGAATGGGATTTTACAGTATCCTTCCCCTGCCACGCCCACCAAGCCACGTCACGCCCCCCACACCATGCCCACAGAACCAGTAGTTAAAAAAATTGAATCCACCACTGTCTTCCACCCATTATTTCTTGTCAGGTCATGCCCTCTGGAGCTTTGGAGAATGAGTCAATCCCCTCTGTGACAGTCCTTCAAGTACTGAAAGACCAGGTCTCACACCCCCCTAATCCTTCTCTTCAATAGGCTAAATAAACCTAGCTCCCCCAATCACTCATAAGCTAAATGTCTATGGAGATTCTCAGTCATCCATCAGGTCATGATTGTCCCAAAGGTGCTTTTTCAAGAGGCAACTGGACTTCCTTATTATTCTTTGAAGACGCTTCACTTCTCATCCAAGAAGTTTCCAAGAAGCAAAGTGTCTTCAAAGAAAAGCCAGAAAGTCCAAGTTGCCTCTTGAAAAAGCACCTTTGAGATACTCATAGGCTAAAACACATCTAGTTCCCTCAATCGCTCGTCATATAATTTAGCCTCGGGACTCCTTATCATCTCTGACTTTCATCCGTTAGGGCCCCCAAGACCCATTATAAAAGAAGTTGAGAAGACAACTTGGAGCTCATGTTGAGTTATGCAAAGCAATGGTCACACAGGTGAAACAGCACACAACCCTCCTACAGAAAGAGGTGACACTTGACTTGGTCAATGCTGTGTTGTCTCCCCCTCCCCCCAAAACGCAGACAGTGACAGCATGTGCTAGATTCCTCTCAATCAGGGGTCTTCAAACTGGACAGCTTTAAGACTTGTGGACTTCAACTCCCAGAATTCCTCCTCCAGTCATGTTAGCTCAGGAATTCTGGGAATTGAAGTTCTCAAGTCTTAAACTTGCCAAGTTTGAAGACCCTTGATATAGATGATTAACAGATAGCTATAGATATTGATTAGAGAGACAGATGATAGATAGGATAGATAGATAATAGACAGATACAGATAGACAGAGCTATAGATGTTATAAATTAGAGACAGGATATATAGATAGATATAGATAGATGATTAACAGATATTGATTAGAGACAGATGATGATGATGATAGATAGATAGATAGATAGATAGATAGATAGATAGATAGATAGATAGATAGATATCAGGGGGTCTTTAAACTTGACAGCTTTAAGACTTGTGGACTTCAACTCCCAGAATTCCTCCTCCAGTCATGTTAGCTCAGGAATTCTGGGAGTTGAAGTCCACAAGTCTTAAAACTTGCCAAGTTTGAAGACCCTTGCTCTCAATGCTCAGAGCTACAGTGTGGTTTGCTCAGTGGCAGATTAAGGCTCACTGGTGCCCTAAGCACTGACAAATCTTGATGTCCCCTCTCCTTTGTACATGCAAGATCTTTTTTTTTTTTTTTTACAAATCTTCATTGGTTTTTCTTTCTTTCTCAACTTTGTGTGGTGCCCCCTTTGGGCCTGATGCCCTAAGCACGTGCTCCGTCTGCTTAATAGTTACTGCACCACGGGGTTTGCTTGCCGTGGGCGTTGGGGACACCACCGAAAGCGACCAACTTCCAGCCTGTGATTTCGCGGGCCAGTTTCGGCTTCCTTCTTTCCCCTCGCTGCGAAACACCTTGGCTGCAAGCCGAGCCTTGCTTCAGAGTAGGAGCTGGCAACCGCTGCAGAGCGCCAGGTCTTTGCCCTGAATTTCCGCTCTGGGAGAAAGCTTCAGTCCGTCCCCCCCCCCCAGACCCGAGAGCGCCGCGCCGGCTGCTGCCCCTTCTCCCGTTGCCAAAGCCCCTCCGCGCCCACCGGCTGCCCTGTTTTCCTCGGAAGGCCAGGCCCTCGAGGCGTAATGGGGCGGTGGAAGTGGGGTGGGGGGCGCACGAGGGTTCTCAGTCGGGAGGGGGAAATCCGCGGCTCTGCCAAGTCCTTCGGGCGCCGCTTAGAGGCGCGCGTGGGCGCATCGGCTTTCCGCTTTTGGAGAGGTCCGCGGTGCGAGCGCCGGGGACTTCCTCGCGTTCTCCGGGCTGGGCTGCAAGGCCACTGGAGGGGACCGACCGACCGACCGACCGTCCGGAGAAAGCGGCTCACCCACCCACCTTGCCGGCCAGCAGGCGCGACTGGCGCAGCTTCTCGGCTTCGCTCAGCCCTTCCAGGCGGCGCTTCAGCTCCGCTCGCAGGGCGCGTTTGGCTGCGTGCAGTTTGGCTGCCATGTCGGCCGGGCTTGCGGCGGCTCCTCCCTCCTCCGAGCTCTCCATGGGACTGCGAGAGCAGCCGCCGCCTCGGCCGACCTCGGGGAGGCGCCCCGAACCCGGAGGAAGGTCTGAGCGGACCCCGGAGGTCTTTTCTCCGAGGTCCCCGAGCGCCGGGAGGCGGAGAGAGAAGGGACCGCTGGCTCCCCTCGGCTTGGAGAGGTGCCAAAGCAAAGAGACAGCCAGCCTCGAAGTCCAAAGATGAGGCGGTCATTGATTTGTCACGTATGAGTGGGTTGGGTGGGGGTTCTTTTTTATTACAAATAGGGCTGAAGGTAGTCCTCGACTTACAACATTTGTTCATTTAGTGACCGTTCAAAGTTACAGTGGCACTGTAAAAAGTGGCTTACCGCCGTTAGGACCCTTGCAGCATCCTCATGGCCACCTGATCAAAATTCAGTGGTTTGGCAAGTGGTTTGTATTTATGACATGGCCCGAGGGGGTCACCGGATCCCCTTTTTGGTGAGCTTCTGACAAGCCAAGTCACTGGGGAAACCAGATTCGCTTATAACCGTCTTACTAACTGAACAACTGGAGTGATTCACTTAACAACCCGTAGCAAGAAAGGTCGTAAAAAGGGGCAAAATCAGTGATGGGATTCAATTTTTTTTTACTACTGGTTCTGTGGTTCTGTGGCTTGGTGGGCATGGCAGGGGAAGGATACTGCAAAATCCCCCTTCCCTCCCCACCCCACTAACCTGCTTTCCAGCTCTGTTCTCCTGTGCAGGGCAACCAAAGAAGACCCAGCCAATCAGGTAGGACTCAGTGGGAGGCAGAGAATAGATGTGGGCGGGGCCAGTCAGAGGTGGTATTTGGCGATTATCCGAACTACTCAAAATGTCCACTACTGGTTCTCCAGAACCGGTCAGAACCTGCTGAATATACCACCTCTGCACCCCACTAACCTGTTTTCCAGCTCCCTTCTCCTGTGCAGGGCAAAAAAAGAAGACCCGGCCGATCAGCTGGGACTCAATGGGAGGCAGAGAAGAGATGCGGACAGGGCCAGTCAGAGGTGAGATTTGGCGGATCTCCAAACTACTCATAATTTCCGCTACTGGTTCTCCAGAACTGGTCAGAACCTGCTGAATATACCACCTCTGGGCAAAACTCCCTTAACAAATGTTTCCCTTAGCAACAGAAATGTGGAGCTGAATTGTCGTAACTCAAGGACTACCTGCATTTATTAAGCCGACATCTATTTTGGTGCCCTCATTCAGACAAGATAAATCTGGGCAGATTTGCATAGATTGCAAAAGAGCCGGCGCATGCAGTTCTAAATGTGAAGAACAAAATGAAAAGAAAGAAAAGAAAACGTTTCAAAGATGATGCAGTTCCTGCAAGAATCGTCCTGTGCAGGGAAAAAAATGGTTTGGTTTTTGCATCCCTCTTCTGCTGCTTTCACTGTGGGCGGAAGGCAGCTCGGTGCAGTTCTTGGGTGATAACCATCAATCTTGTTGATAACATGATCTCCCTTCCTAGCCAATGATGGTTGATGCCACTTAATTTGTAAAAGAGGGCCATTTTTGTAGATTGTTTAATTGATTTGGTTTAGTGTAATGTGTGCACCCATCCTTTGTGGGTTGTAAGTCATAGTTTATGGTAGGGTGGTCCACTTTTTCACAGCTGGAGGTTATATATAGGATTTTTGGGGGGGGGGGGTGGGGTAGAGACTGGTAGGTAAAATAATTGTGCAAAAAAAATGTTGGAGAAGGAGGTGCATACTATTTCCCCCCAAAACATTCCATTTTCCCTCCAGAACAGGGTGATCCAGTTGCTCAGGGATCAGGCTGTTCCCATCTGAAACATGGCAAGCAATTTGTTATTCAGGGAGATTTACTTTAGATTTTCAGGAACGGCCAGAATGCCCTGTTTAGAGAAAAATACAGAATGTTCCATGTGTAGAATGAAGCGGATCAAAAGGGGCTCCTGGACTATGGAAATGAGATTCGCTCAACCCTAGCTTCTAGTTTTATAAAACCAGTTCTGTTGTATTCTGCATCCCTATTTACTGAATAAATTATCGCTGTGTTATGATTTAATCTCCTAATTCAAGATTATGTATTCAGTTAGCCATAATTAAGCAAGCAATAGCCTAGCATATGTAGGCTATGTTTAATAGCAGGGTTAGCTACCATTAGCGAGTATAATGCCTATAGTCCACATGGTGAAGATTGAAGGAGCTGTGGTTGAATGCAGCTGGGTCTAAGCAACACATTTAAGTTGTAATATTGGTTTGCTGGTACTTTGTCATGTCCTGTGAGTCAAGCCATTGTGCTTTATGGCTTATTTTGTGGCTAAAGAAATAATGATTTACCGTGTCAGGTGTAATGGTATGTGAGAAAGACCTTGAGAGTCAGAGTGAAGAAATGCTTCCTAGGAAAAGAAAGGGCTTATCCCTCAGCTGCATAACGGGTAGAGAAAAAAGCTAAAAAGGACCTTCCCTAGCTTCTCAGGCTATATAGGAGATGGTGGGAGATATGTACTTTCAGACTTGCAATATTGATGTCAGCCTTTTAAGGTAGACTAGACAGAAAACACAACCAGGTGAGCTAATTCTACTTCATTGTAAGGCTACATGAACAGAACCTTGCAGGTGTGAAGGTACAAATCTCCTCTTATCTGTCCTTTCCCTAAACAGCATTTCTTCACCTATCTCTCAAGGCCTTTCTCACATACCAGCACATTAGGTGAACTCAGAATACAGAATAATAAGAGTTGGAAGAAATCTTGGAGGTCTTCTAGTCCAATCCCCTGCTCAAGCAGGAGATCCTAGACCAAGGGGGTCAAACTCGTGGCCCGCAGCCCAGATGCATCACGTGCTGCCCCCTCCCAGTTTAGCAAAGGGGAAAAGGTGCCAATATGTCATGTGATGATGCAGTGACGATGTAAGTTTGACGCCCCTGCCCTAGACCATTTCAGACAAGTGGCTGTCCAGTCTCTTCTTGAAAGCCTTCAGCAATTAAACACCCACAATTTCTGAAGGTAAGCCATTCCACTGGCTAATTGTTCTCACTGTTAGGAAGTTTTTCCTTAGTCTTAGCTTGATTCTGCCCTTGATTAGTTTCCATCCATTGCTTCTTGTCCTGCCTTCAGGTGCTTTGGGGAATAGTTTGACTCCTTCTTTAGGGCAGCCCCTCAGGTATTGGAACACTGCTATCATGTCACCCTTAACCGTTCTTTTCTCCAGACTAGCCATAGCCATTTCCTGCAACCGTTTTTTGTATGTTTTTAGCCTCCAGGTCCTAAAAAATCTTAGTTGCTCTTCTCTACTCAAGCCACATGTGATTATTTTCTTCTCCAGACTGTTTCTGGGACTGAGTTTGGCTGAGATTTCCTACCCAAAGGGTCTGTCACAAAGCAGTGAGCCAGTTTGCAGGAAAGAAGGACCTTTCTCTGGGTACTTTTGTGTAACACACTGACTTAGCACTGCACTATGCAGCTTGTGGTTCCCCACCATTCTCAGGAATTTTGAGCAACACCCTTGAACGAGATAGAAATCATTTCTATGCCGAGTAGCTGAACCATTTGTTTAGTAATATCTGCAAGCATTTCCACAAAAGAAATATATATAAAGAAATATATATATATATATATCATAAATAACATATAAATAAAAGTTTGAAATATAGTATTCTTCCCCCTTTCCCTCTTGAGCTCCATAGGTGTTCTCAGTCTTCTACTAAGAGGGAAATGTTTCTGGAAGTCATCCCAGGGTAGCATCCTCAAGAAAAGCTTTGACCAGGTTTATGAGTGATATTGATTGAAGATTGAAAAAACAGCCAAGATCTTTGTCTTCAGAGTGGATAAGGATACCCAGGAGTTTCTATCCTCAAATTTTGTTATAAAGCCATCGTCCTGCAAGCAAAGAGAAGAAGATTATGAGAACCACTCTGGTCTAATGGTTAAGGTACCTAGCCAGAAACCAGGAGGCAGTAAATTCTAAAGGTAAAGGTAAAGGTTCCCCTCGTACATACGTGCTAGTCATTTCTGGCTCTAGGGTGAAGTGCTCATCTCTGTTACAAAGCCGAAGAGCCAGCACTGTCCAAAAATGTCTCCGTGGTCATGTGGCTGGCATGATTAACGCCGAAGGCGCACAGAACGCTGTTCCCTTCCCACCAAAGTGGTCCCTATTTTTCTACTTGCATTTTTAACATGCTTTCTAACTGCTAGGTTGGCAGAAGCTGGGACAAGTAAAAGGAGCTCACTCCATTACACAGTGCTAGGGATTCAAACCGCCGAACTGCCGACCTTTCTGATCAACAAGCTCAAGCATCTTAGCCACCGAGCCACCGCATCCCTTATTTTTATTTAATTTTACTTATAAATTCAGGCATAAAACGCAACTGGGTGACTTTGAGCCAGTCCCTTTCTCTCAGCCCAACCCACCTCACAGGGTTGTTGTGGGGAAAAGAAGAGGAAGAAGGAGTACAGGTAGTCCTCAACAATAGTTCATTTAGTGACCGTGCAAACAACGGCACTGAAAAATGTGACTTATGACCATTTTTCACAGTTGAGACCTTTGCAGCATCCGCTTGATCATGAAATCAAGATTCAGATGCTTGGCAACTGCTTCATAATTATGACCTTCCCTGTGTCCCAGGATCATGTGATCAGCTTTTGTGACCTTCTGATTAGCAAAGTCAATATGGGGAAACCAGATTCACTTAACAACCAGGTTACTAACTTATCCACTGCAGTGATTCACTTAGCAACTGTGGTAAGAGTGGTCGTAAAATGGGGCAAAACTCATTTAACAAATGTCTCCACAACAAATTTTGGCTCAATTGCAGTCGTAAGTCGAGGACTACCTGTATTAGGCATGTTCATCACCTTGAGTTAGTTATAAAAGATAATAAAGATAGGATGAAAATAAAAAAATAAAAAAAATACATTACACGCAACTTGCAGTGAATAAAATCACTCCCTGGGGGGAAAAATGTCTGATTATCCTGGGTGCACTCAAAGTATTGGATATGTTCACTGCCTTGAGTTATTTGTACAAAAAATAAAGGTGAGATATAAATAAATAGTGGCACAGTTGTTGAGATCTGAAGTGGTGTTCATAGTGCATAAAACCATGCTTGGCCTTCACCTACTGTTTGTGTGAACCCAGGTGTTGTGGCTTGCAAATCACACAACATTTGGATCTCCTTGCTAAGTGTCATGTGGTGAGCTATGGTGCTGGGGCCAAGCTTCCTGTGAAAATAATAACTTTAAATATTTCAAATGAGCT